AGTGAGGTGCCTCATGCCTGTAATCCCAGAAGTTTGGGAGGCTGAGGTGAGAGGATCACTTGAAACCAAGAGTTTAAAACCAGCCTGGGCAACAGAGAGAGGCCTGTCTCTACAGAAAAAAAAAAAAAATTGGGTGTGGTGGCAAATACCAATAATACCAGCTGCTTGGGAAGCTGAGGAGGGAGGATTGCTTGAGCCCAGGGGGTCAAGGCTGCAGTGAGCTAAGATCATGTCACTGTACTCCAGCCTGGGCAACAGAGCAAGACATTATCTCTAAAAGAGAGTCTGGCACACAGGAGGTGCTCAGTAAATGACCACTCTATCTGCTCTGGTCCCAGATTTCTGGAATAGCACAAAGATGCCGGAAGCACCATGCAGCATGCCACTCTCAGTAGCAGGAGCCGACCTCTTCTCTAGGCCAGTCCTAGGGCCGGTCACTAGGAAGATAAAGGCAGGAAGACCGTTGCTGGCCTTGTAGAACACATGGTCTTATTTGTCTTCCTCTCTGTGGGCATCTCAGTCCTCAGACCACTGTTCCCTACAAGGGACCCTAGTCTCCGGGCTCTGAATGTTACCAGTTCCGGAGAAGGCTGGACTCTGGGAATGCCAAGTAAGCAGTCTGCAGAGAGACTTTAATGAGCCATCAATTATTCCCAGCTCTCTTGGCACCCCAAGTAGAAAAGGAGAGTGGAAATCATGAGAAAGGGGACGAAAAATTAACGGGAGAAGTTCCCCGCTGGGCTTGCCTCATCAGCGTTTTCCTGAGACCTCAAGGGATACATCAGCTGTCATCCTGCCAGCAAAACTTATGAAATATGTAGGCCATAAAATCAAAGAAAAAAGCTTGCGTCTAATTAGTATGTTAAAGAAAAAAAGGAAGCAACCCAAACTGAAAAACAAAATTAAAATCAAAGAGGACAGACTGATGAGCTGGTTTTCTTTATGAGTCTTTGTGTTCTTGGGCTTTTTAACGGAAGGAAGGTGAGAGGAGGGGTGTGTTCTTGGGCTTTTTAACGGAAGGAAGGTGAGAGGAGGGGGGAGGAGCGAAAAGGAGAGCCAGATGGGCTTTCCTGAGGTGGGTCTGAAATCCACCCCTGAGGCAGCCTCACCCCTGTCAATCTCAACAACACTGCTCTCTGCCCAGTGAGGGCACCCGAGGGTCCTCAAGGCACTGTGTTCGGGGGCTGCTACCAGGGGCAGGCCACAGTGCACAGGCTCCAGACCCCCATGACACTGCAGATGGAATTCTCCTGCCGGGGGTAGGATTGAGACCCCTTGATTAAACCTTCAATCTGGAGAGAACTCTTTTTTTCATGGTCAGCGTCACACCGAGCACCTCTTCAACCCGAGCCATGGCATCCCAGTTCCGGGACTCTCAGTATCACTCCACACTAATGACCCGAATTTCCCAAGCCGACATCTCCCCTGAGTGCTAATGAGGATGTCCTGTCTGCTGGCCAACAAAGGGCAGCACCACTCCCTGTACCCCACAATCACTGCACACCTCATGGAACTCAAGAGCCCTGCCCAGTAACACTGGCCCACCTGATACTCCGGCCTCCCCTGATGGCGCCAGAGTCCTTTCCAAGGCCACTGCATCCTGTCCTGCTTCTGCTGCCTCTGCTTGGGAAGTGCCTTTCCCCGAAATGCCCCCGCTCCGGGTCTCCATTCCTGGCCCTGGGGGGGAGTGGACACTCACTCCTCTGCCTCTTCGCCGCTCCTTAGCACACTGTTTGCAGCTCTAACGTGGCACTTATCATGCTATAATTAGGTTTGAGCACCACTTCCCACGAGACTGTGAACACCTCAAGGAGAGGGACCTTGAGCTCTTCTTCGTATCTCTTCTACTGGATCTAGAGCCTGACACCGAGCAATGCCTGTTGGGTAGTTCCTGGAGTAGGTATTCCATTTAGCTTGAATTATGGCCATTATACATCTATGTCCCCAAAGATTGTAAACTCCATGAGGGCAGGTGCCGTGCTACACCTTTTAGCACAGCACTTAGCACTGTGCCTCGCTAGTCCTGGGCAAAATCTCAGTAAATGTCTGCCAAATTAAATCTATACAGAGTTTAATTCAACAATGTTTAACATTTTTACTGGGTTCCTGTTATGTGGCTGGCACTGCTCTAGGTGCTGAAGAGACACAGTGAACGAGGCAGACAATGTCCTCCCCATCACAGAGCTTATATTTTAATGTATAAGACAGAAAAAAGAGTAAGCAAACACATAAATGAAATCAATTATAGACTCTGATAAGGTCTCAGAAGGAAATAATCAGGGTGCCATAATGGGAAATAACAGATGCAGAGAAGTGGAAGGATTTGATACTGAGTTCAGAGGCAGAATGGAGGGATAATACCAATGGACTGGCTGTGAGGCGTGATGGAGAGAGACCTGAGGGCCTGGCATGAGGGCCACGGGTGTCTGGACAGAGGCCAAGGTGGGGGGGCACAGGGAAAAAAAGCAGCAGGGGAGAAGAACAGAGTTGCAAGATGAGACAGTGTCTGTGCAGGCCATTCACCTGCTCACCCACCTGCTCACTCAGTCAACAAACATCTACTCAGCATCTAGTATGTGCTGGGCACTTTAGCAGACACTGGGAGGATAACCAGGGTCTGAGGGGGACAAAGGCTGGGGCTCACAACCACAAAAAGCTGTGAATAACCTAGTTATATGGCAGGGTTTGAGAAAGAAAAAGATCTACCGACTATGTGTCAGCACCCGTTACAAACACGTTTTCTTTCTTGGAAGATCACGTTCTTGATGACAGGGATGGAGGTGCAGGAAGAGCCGAGTGCAAGGTAGTGGAGCTCGGAGTGATAAAAAGGTCTAATTGAACACGTGGGTGTTAAAAGTAAATGTCATTTAAAGACTGGAGCTACAAATCACCACAGCTACACCTGAGGGAGGAGGGAGAGACACTCTTGAGCTGTAACTCAGGCACGAGGAGAAGGGAGCACCAGGGTGCTGCTATGGAAGGCAAGACGTGAGGCTGCACTCATCATGGGTTCCCCTTGACTCTCTTCTTCCTCTGAGGAAAAAACAACAGATTCTAATGCCGCAGATTCTCCATCTACAAAATGGGCACGATGGACTTATTACTCCCCTGCCCAGGAGGGCTGTGTTTCACACGTGATTCCCATCCTATGCCTTCCTTCATGCTGTTCCTTCTTTCTGAAATGTCCTGTCCAAGTCTCAGACCTGCTCAGTTCCAAGGTTTCCCACAGGATTTTAGCTATGCCTCACTCACAATGATGAAGACTCCAACTCAAAAACAACAACAACAAAAACCAAATATCTTCATAATATTTCATAATACTCAAACTACTACTTACTGAGAACTTATTAAGGGTTAGACATTTTCTGTGTATCATCTCATTCAATGCCCTTGCCCATTCCATGAGGTCACAGAGCAATGGGTATCTTGCCTGAGGTAACAATGATAGCAGAGCCAGATGCAGATCCGGGAGCCTGGCCCCAAGCCCACGCTCTCAGTCTCTCTCATTTGATGCTGTATACTATTCAACTTCACACTTCATCTCCCTTCTGTGATGGGAGCACCATGCAGCTTGAAAGCAAACTCTGAGTGTATCTAGCCCAGTCCCTCATCTTAGAAATGGGCAGAACCAGAGCCGGAGAGGGAAACTGATCCGTCTGTGGTTACCCCATCCATCTTGACTCTCTCTGAACTCTGGCATTATCAGTACTGTACATTCCAGCATGGGCCTCCACCCACTATGTGTGTAAGTCTGTGTTCCCTGGTTAGTCCCTAAGTGGCTGGGGCGGGGGGGGGGCGGCGTCCCAGAGCTCAAGACAGCTTTGTGATGGAGGGCCTGCCTACCAACTGGAGGCCTCTCTGGAGCCACTCCAACTAGGTCAGGTCCAGCCAAAGATCCAACAGCATCAGGGGGACTCCATGGGATGGGTGAGGGAAGGAGGGGGACTTACTGACTGAGCACGCATTGTATGCCAGGTACCAGACTGCTGGGATGAGCACCGCATGTAGTCCTACCTCCTGTAGCCTTTATGGAATCTCTTCTCGTTAGATATATAACCGTGAATGTGGTCTCTCTCTCTCTCTCTCTCAAAATATCTTATTGTATTGTACCCACCTATTTTTGGACTATTGACTGTGTGTGCTGAAACCCCGGGAAGCAAAACCACCGATAAGGGTGAGACTACTGCATTTCTTGTCATTTCCTTATTTTTTCCTCTATGAAAGCAATTTCCTCCCACTATATGCAACTTGGAATTTTTTTTGGCAAAAAAAATGGTAAACAAATATTTCCAAGCTGCTTCTTGTTAAGTGTTTAAATTCTGAAATTGGAGGGTCAGAGGCAGATAACAACCAGGTTAAGACTTCAGCATTGTGTGCAAGTACCGTGCGCTAACTGATTGTGTCACTGGAGTTCCAACTGTGCTGCCCATCGAGAGAGGACTGGATAATAAAGAATGTGGTACATATACACGATGGAATATTACACAGCCATAAAGAAGAACAAAATCATGAACTTCACAGCAACCTGAATGGACTTAGAGTCTAATACTGAGTGATCTTTCACAGAAACAAAGATCTGAGTATCACATGTTCTCACTCATAAGCGGACCTCGAACAATTATTCTAATACGATAAGAAAAGGATTGGCAGTAGCAGGAAACTGCTGGGAGGGGGGCGGGGAAGCGGGATTGGCAGTAGTGGGAGTCTGCCTGGGGAAGAGGGGGCGCACACCTCATCAACAAAGGTCACTGCATAATGAACATCTGTATACCTAACCCTGAATTGTACTCCACATCTTTCAAATAAAAAAATTAAAAGATTAAAAAAAAAAGACTTCAGCATTCTGACAAAGATGACCTGGGCACACAGTGAACTGGATACCACATGTAAGCTTTTAGTGCAGAAAATTCAGTGAACCAAATACCAGGGATACTGACAGAGACTCAGAAGGAAGCATCATTGAAGCCCTGGAGCACAGAACCAAGCAACATCTGACTCACCCTTGATGATGTGCCTGACAATTTTGATGGAGCTTCCCCGCATGTTCAGGATCTGGTGTACTCTCTGGCGAATCTAATAATGAGGAGAAAAAATGGAGAAAGAGAAAAAAAGGTCGTTTGTCTTGGCAGACAGCAGAATGCATCATTCGGAAATTATCTACCTCACCCTCATCCTTGAAAAAGAAGGCTCACACAGAATAAAGGAATTCAAGGAGAGTGTGATCTGCTTCCTTCCTTGAGAGGCTCCAGCTGAGCAGGAGATAGGAACGGCAGGCATGGCGGGCCTACTTGGGGAAGACTCTCCTACCTGGGGGACATTGGCATTACAGATCTCCGCCATGATGTAGCAGATGTGCTGGAGAACAAAGAGCCCCGCATCCAAGCGCCGGAGGTAGAATTCATCCTCAATGTCACTGTCTATGATCTCTCCACGCCGGACCATGTCCTGGAAATGAAGGCACACGTAGGAAGAAAAGCTGGACAGTGAGTGGGAGGCCTTCCATGCCATAACAAGATGTCTCAGGCCAAGAAGGGAACTGGCTTCACGTCTGGCCACAGTCCACAGCGATGAATACATCATTCTCAAGCATCTTTCTCATGCTCCTCGTTCTTAACGGTCTACAGGCCCCAGGAGGCAAGCTTAAAGCCCACTTCTTTTCTGTCTGATGAATCAGAGCCAAAACTATCTCATCCACATGTTCCCCCTAAAAAAATGAGGCGAATAAACACAAATCTAAGCTGCTTATCTGCTCCCATTCATTCTTTTCTCTTTGGCTTGGGACTCATAAATAACTTCTCTATAAGATACAGGCAGTTCTGGCTTACAAGGGCTCAACCCAGGATGTTTTTAACTTCATGTTAGTACGTAAGTACTACGCAGTCAGTAGATCCTGTACTTCTACAATGCGGGGCAGCAGTGCAAGCTGCCGCTCCCAGTCAGCCATGTATTTTGACTCATGATATTTTCAATTTATGATAAAATTTCAGTTTATCAGGACTTAGCTTGGTAAATCAAGGAGCATCTGCATTCTTAACTCTCTTTCCCTTCCAGACCAGGTTAGACACAGGGAAGAAAGCTCTCCTTTCTTCACAACTCTGAAACCAACAGCACAGGCACCAACATGCACACATGCACCCCTGTGGCTTCCATTTTGTCAGGTGCCAATGCTGCAACCTTTCCATTGCACTTCACAAGTCTAGCACCCCACCAGGCTGAAGCCCTAGAAGTGTTTGGAGTCCTCTTTGTAACCCGAGACCTGTCAGACTTGCTGTCCTCACATCTAGACCTCCAGCGGATTCTATATTTAAAATCAGCTTTATTGAGGTATAATTCACACGCCTATACTTCAACCATTGAAAATGTACAATTTAATAGCTTTTAGTATATACAGAGTTGTGCAGTCAGTTTCAGAATATCTTTATCATCGTCTAACCTCCCTCATCTAGTGGATTATTAACACTTCTGCCAAAAGAGCTCAGGGCTCTTACGGCTTTCTTTCCTTGAGGGTATCTCTCAAGCCCACATTATTTTAAGCTGCCTCTATTGTAAAGCCTTGCCTGACTATTCAAGGGTAACAATTGATCCTTTCTAAAATTCCTGAGAGGGCAGGTGTGGGTGGCTCAGGCCTATAATCCCAGCACTTTGGGAGGCTGAGGTGAGAGGACTGACTGAGCACAGGAGTTCAAGACCAGCCTGGGCAACATGGTAAGACCTCATCTTTACAGTAAATCAAACAATTAGCTAGGTGTGGTGGTGCACGCCTGTAGTCCCAGTTACTTGGGAGGTAGAAAGATCATTTACACTCAGGAGTTTGAGGCTGTGATGAGCGTGATTGTGCCTGGGTAGACAGATTGTGACTCAAAATAAATACATAAATAGAAAATTCTTGAGAACACCTTAGACAAGCCACTCCATAACATACCTTCTTCCCGCATGTCACCTTCACACTGACTTCAGTCACCATCAACTCCCTATGACTACAGCCTTTATTTCATGGGTAGACTTAAGCTCTGTGAAGGTGGGGCTGAATTTTGTCTGTCTTCATTTCCCCAGCTTAGTAAACATGGATGCAGCCAATGAGAGAAAAAAGACATGGACCAAGAGCTCTCAGGAATGAGAACAGGGTGTAAGGACTTGCTCTGCAAGACTGGCAGACGGGCTAAGATGACAGGTACTTAATATATGCTTCTGATGGCAACAACCCATTTTTTAATTCTGTTGGCAGTTTTATGGCTGAGGTTCCTTCTGACGACTTAGGCTCCTGTCACTGACAGAAGCCCTTGGGACCCTGCTTTCCACTCTTCCAACCTCGAAGGACTCACCACCATGGCCATCAATCTCCACCAAGAACCCTTCGGAGACTCTTTAGATGCAGATAATGCACTTCTTTGTTTGCTCAGGGGGCCAGCCTGTAGCAACACAAGGCTACTTTTCATCTTGCTCTTAAAGGCCTCTATGAGGCCAGAGAGGGCTACACGCTGCCAGGGCCTGTGTTACCTGGCAAATCACCACCATTGATTCTTAGCTTCATTTTGCAGCCAAGTCCTTGGTAATCTGGTTATGGTGTCAATGTTCATGAGTAGTCATGGGGCACCAGACTGATATGCAAGGGGCTTAAAAATAGAAAGTTCTCTTTAGTTTCTCATTTACTCATAATCATAACTTCTTGCTCCAGAACTCCTAAGTGTTTGGCAGTTACCATCAAATTTAAGGGTGCAGGGAAGGGTTATTAATTCCATTGTACAAATGAGAAATCAAGGCACACAGAGGCTGAGCGTCTCACAATTCCCAGTTACTAGAGTACGGACTCTCCAGAGACAGAAGTTCTGTTTAACTCATTTGTGATGTGGAAATGAGTAATTAGGTGTAGTTTTTAGCCCTCTGGCCCTACTAAATGCCTAATGGCAAGAGGACCATCCTAAGCACTGAAAAAGGAGGAAAATGGAAGCCTGGGTCATAGTCACTGAAGAGCTGACGGGCTGGGGAGATCACAGAGACATAGGAAATGACTAAAAAATGAAGGGCTGCAGTGCGCCCACAACTCAAAAATAATTGTAAGTGATGGGTGCTGATCACATAAGGGCATCCTATAAGAAGCCATTTCGGGTAAGGTTTCAAGGCACATGGCGGGCAGAGACAGCAGAATGAACGCCTTAAAGGTCTGGTCTCGATGTTTTCTGAGGCCTTATGGGAAATGCCTTCCATTGCCCACACTTTCTGCTCACTACCCCCTCCCCCAGCAGACAGGTCTTCCCTCTTCAGATCTCCTCACCTTGCTCATAATGTTGATACTGCCCAACTCTCCCTCCTGTTTCTATCAAATATATATATATTTGATATATACATAATTTTATTGTTATTTATTTTTTTGAGTCGGGGTCTCACTCTTGTCACCCAGTCGGGAGTGCAGTGGCACAGTCACAGCTTACCACAGCCTCAACCTCCTGGGCTCAGGCAATCCTCTCACCTCAGTCTCCCAAGCATCTAGAAGTACAGGCACACACCACCACTTCTGGCTGTTTTTAATTTTTTGTAGAGATGGGATCTTGTTATATTGCCCAGGCTGGTCTCGAACTCCTGGGCTCAAGCAATCCTTCCACTTCGACCTCCCAAAATACTGAGATTACAAACGTGAGCCACCATGCTCAGCCTCTATCAAATATATGAAAAATAAAAAACATCCTGAGATCCCCAGGCAGACCTGGTTTTCCAGTCCCTAAAACCCTTGGGTCCTTGATGTGAACCTCAGTTATGGCACCTCCCATGGCCTGCTTGTACTAGTCACTCAGATGTGTGCCTCTTCCCTATGGAGGTTCCTTGAAAGGAAGAATTGTGTTTTACTCATCTTTGTACCCTAAAAAGCACTTTGTGTGATACTTTTGCTTAGTAAGCTCTTCAAAAGCTTTTGCCCAATAGGATTAAAATAAACCCAGGCAGAGATTCAAAGCTGTTTAAGGGTGAGGTAACTGTGCCTTAGGGGCTAGCTGGTGGCAGCCTTAAAGGCTGGCCAGAGTAGTCAGACTTGACGGGCTACAGACTGTCAGTCAGCCCTTTGCAGGAAAATGTCATGCAGAAGAGGATGCAAAGAGCCATGTGATAGACACCAGATTGAAGAGCCAAGAGGCAGGCAGAATGCATGGCTGGGAAGCCAGAGCATCAGCCTTTGTGTGAAGGGGAAAGGCCAAGGGGGAAGGAGGAAGGAAGAAAAGAAAGAGAAGGTGCAGGGAAGGGAAAAGGGGAAAGGGAAGGGGAAGGGGAAGGGGAAAGGGAGGGAAGGGAAGGGAAGGAAGAGACATTTGGAGGTTGTAAACATGGGAACAGGGAATGGAACTCATTCACTCATTTACCTGATAAAGACATCCTGAGCACCTAACTGTGCCAGGTACTGTGTGCCATGCTGAGACAGCAAAGATAAAACAAAATAGTCCATATAATCAAGGAGCTCAGTCTAATGAGGTTAACAAATATGAATTTTTTAAAAAAATGTAACAGTGACTATAACAAATGACCTCTCAAACTGTACCAAGTGCTGTGGAAACCCAGAAGAAAGATGGATTAAGTCTATCTGGCGGCAACAGGAAAGGTCAAAGGAAATGTAAACGAGCTGGATTTTGAGGGGGTCTGATAGGCTGGAAAGGACATTCCAAGCAGAGGAAATAATAGTGTAGATAAAGGTATAGAAAAGTCAACTAGGTTAGCTTGAGGGAGAACAACAGTGAATATCAGTATCAGCAACAGAAACATCAGAAAGAATTAAGGGTTTTGTTTTTTTTTTTGGCTTATTAGATTCCAGGTATTAGTAGATCATATTACTTTTACTTATGATGCATTTCGTGAGGCAATCTGAATAACCACTGCTTTCAACACCTATCCACCAGAGGGGTATGTGTCAGACAGAGTACCAGTGCTTTGTGGACATTAACTCCTTTACTTTTCATCAATACTGAGAGGCAGGGAGCCTTACTGCAGCTTAGATAAGAAAACTGGCACAGGCAGAGCACCCTCCCAAGGCTGGTGGGTGGCAGAACTAGAATCCAAACCCAAGTCTGCACTCTTGTCACACTACCATGTTTATATAGGGATCGATTTCAGAGTTGTCTGGAGAACAAGGGAAGATGGTCACTAAGAGTGACAGAAGGCTCAAGAACAGGGCTTAGTGACAGGTTTCTCCATCAGGTCAGGAGTATCCTGATGATTTTTCCTTTTTCATATCTTTCTCCATCATCTGATCTTCTTTTAACCAGGTACATATTGTATCTCCCAGTTTCTCTATATTGTCATCTAGAAAGGAAAGATCCAAGAGAGCAACGCCACACTCTGTTTTCCCCCTTTCCTCAGAACTTCAAGACTCTGTCAATGTTCAACTCGACATTCTACTTTTAGACGTACAGACACAGGATTTGAAGGTGAAATTTTCAAATGTAGATCTGAGATATGACTATAGC